TTCCAATTTTACGCTACACCAACGAGAAAGCATCTAACAAACCGAGTCGCAAAGATCGATAGCGCCATATCACTAGCAAATTAACTAAAACGCCTGCAATATCGTTTAACATAACTGCTAACATGGGCGACATTCGCAAAATCACCGAAGCAAAACTCCTCTCCAAATTACACTCCACCATTTTCTTCATTTAACAAATTGATGGCTCTTGTTTGGGAACTCATGCCGCACAATAAAAAAGAGCTTTATCACTAAGAAGCTTAAGATGAAAATCGCATAAAACTCGTTAGCAAAGCTAGTCCTTTGTTAAGAACGCTTACGCCCAAAAGATAAGGTTGAATTTGGGTTAATGGTGGAAGCTTCAGGGATTTTTAACCTTAGTAAACAGAGCTCAAAGATGGTAATTGCTCGACAATGAGCGTCGAGGGTGGATGGGGAAAGGGGGTTGCGGTCCAAGTTTGTAATTAATAAAGCCCTCTCAATTACAAGTGCCTTTCCTCGCTGGATTTGGGGGAATGTGTGCCTACCTACTTAGAAGGGAATATTACGCTGCAAGAGTGCGGTTTTGACCTTTGGGGGTATGTGATTGATCTGATAAAGTGATAATTAATTGAAATGTATAAAAACTGTAAATTGTTTCTAGATACTATTATTGCTTAAGTTATCAGGCATCCTTCTAAAACTCGAGCGATACATGACAAAAAACATAAATCATGACAACAAATATAAACAGATTATTTCTATGACAGTTTTTGGTTGTATGTTATTTCCGGATTTAAAAAAAAAAACCTAGTTTTATAAGTCTAAACTTTTCCATCAGTAAATGGTAGATCATACTATAAATTATTAATTTTTGTAAGCTCTTATAAGGCGATTAACAACAATATATAAATAAAAAAAAAAGAATTTCATTCATTTTATGTTTTTATTGGCTGATTATTATTATTTTCGAAGTTACTTTAATTTCTCACAATTGTAGGTGCAGAAATATTCACACAATATAGTCTATAATATAACATTGCTTAATACATGTAGGTTATATAAAAATACATGTTACATTGAGTAGACTTTAGGTGTGGGGTGGGTAAAGCCTGGCTTACCGTCGGCGTACGTACTACATACACCCCAAATACCTGCAAATCCTCGCCACGTATTTGTTCACACCTCGCTATCGTGAAATACTAGACTTTTATATGGATAAATTGTATCTATCTAGATTTGCTTCTCTTAGGGCACATATATTTAGTAATGTCTTATTATAGACGAAAAATGATAACGAAGTATTTTTTCGTCTACAGTCTGATTGCTTGTATATTTATACATAATTATTGATTTCACTAATGTTACAAATGTTCCGGATTGTTTAATCTGCAAATGATTATTATGACAATTTTATATTCGTTTACTTTTATATTAACACCCGACCACTATTTCATTTTTAGTGCCCACGTTACAGGTTCGCCTAGTATAGGGCCCATTTTATCTAGTGATTGTAACTTTGTGTTTTTTTCAAATAACATTATTTTGTACTTTTAACTATTTTCCATACCACTATGATGACAAAAAAAAAACATGAATTCCGGTTAAGATTGATTACTGCACTGTAGCCGATGGACTTGTGCAATATGTTGCTGACCACGAAGAAACTTATTACCTGTATTAAATTAATATAATCTTTTGGAAAAGTCTTGGCTAAGATTTCATTTCTAAATCTGAGTGTAGAAGAAAAGTTCTTCTTTCTTCCATCATTTAGGTATGTAGAGTCGAGCAATTCCTTAGAACATTGTCCATTATATAGGCGGTAGGTAGAATGTGTAGTGGAGAAATGAAGAGAAAGAAAGGGGAAATTGGAAAATAGTTTATCTAAAATACAGATACAGTCGCATAGACAATATCTTTGATATAAAATTAAACAATATGTATTCGTTTCACCTACAGTTTTCCAAAAGGTGTAGTAAGCCATATATTTTACATAATAATAATTTTATAAATAACATTTTAAAATTTATCCATCCATAAACCCAGCATGACGTACCTACTACTTTATAATCTAAGTATTTTTCAATGGGTATATACATTACGGGTTGAGAATAATTTAAATAAATAAAAATTACGGTTGTTGAATTGTTTCTGATTATAAAATATATATACGAGTATTTAACATTTTATTTATATATCATTATAAAAACTATTCATGGTATTTTTAGGCGAATAATTTGTCCAAACGGCGTTCAGTTGATTAACATGCTCGCCGCTGTATGTGCCAATAGTATACCGACCGACGGTCAAACGATTCCATTAGAGTACAATGTGCAGTTTATTTATTTTAAATTACTCGTACTAATGTCTATGTGTTCCAGTATGAAATATTATTCGCAATTCGTACATTGATATATCGAATTTTATATGCAGTATTAGGTATACTAGTATAAAAAATTTAAAGTTCGAATCACGAATGTATGATACCTCTCTGATACAACTGAATTACATATATCGAAAGAGTATTCATGATATTTTTTTTTTAGTATTTCAGGCTGTTCTACCTTATAATATATTCTATGATTTTCTAAAATAAAGCGACAACACATTTTTATCAACGTTTTAAATATACATGTGTATGCATTAAATGTATTTACCTAACATCTTGACCTATTATATAGCTATTAATGATAATTTAAGATTTTGTTTCACGAAAAAAACACCGACTTTAGTCATGGCAAAATAATTTATTTTGATTTAAAAACTAAACTACTGAAGAGATTTTGATAAAATTTCTATGAGGACAATCTTTTAAGATTACTCTTTTAGAAAAAAAAAGTTATTCAAATCGATTTATAATTGACAAAGTTTTATGGTAACAAACGTAAAAAAATAGAACCTATAACTTATATATAAAAAACATTTTTTATGCTATACAGTCACAAACAAGAAGATATTACATCTGATGAAAAAAATGTCACTAAATATCGCATATATCAAGGATATCACAGTTAAATAGGTAATAATAGAATATATATATTTTTAACTAATGTCTTGTTTTGGCAATCTTAAGGATCAAGATGTAGACTTTCTTGTGTCCACTGTTATTGTACTTAATGTTATTGTACAATAAAATCTGCCACCAGTAAATTACCTACAACCATAAGATATATCGATATCGCCAAGATATGTATGCTGGTAGTATCGCTTTAAATGGACACCCGACCTTGAAGACATATTTAATTTAAGAAACGGTTCTCGCATATCCACTCTTAATATATCTGTCATCAAGAACATCTGCTCGTAATTTTATCGCGTTAATTCGTGCGGTGCGATGTGGACAACTAACCTTCTACCATTAGCTCTTTTACAAGCCTCTCCTGTATAACAATTTGAATTTTACGATGTGAAATTTTACATACAATTACATAAATACATACTTAGATTCATCATCATCATCATATCAGCCTTTAGCTGTGTTTTGCCAGTAACTGCCACGCTTGGCAGGCGGATTAGCATCCGCAGTTGGACTTTAGAGACGTTTTAACTCGCCTTCCCTTAGACGCCTCTTATGACACCCATGGAAAAGGAAGGGGTGACCTATTCTATGCTGGGAGCACACAGAAATTACGTACATTAATGTGTTTACAAAATTTTTCAAAATTTTGATGTTAGTCAGTACTGGACATATAAAAGAAAGACAAGGGCGTGGTTAGGCGATTCCAATGGGCGTCGTAATCAGAAGGGGTTCTAGAGGTACAATATTTTAATTTCTCAATATTTATGAATATAAATGAAAAAAACCAATTTGCTTTTAATATATTAGATAATCAATATACGGAACCCCCTCAAACGAGTTTTACTCACACTTGTCGGGTTTTACATCACAACATACAGTGTGATGTTATTAAAATGCTTTAGTAAATTTCGAAATCAAATTTCGTCGATATTTCGTTCATATTTACGTCAAAAGTTCTCCTGTTGTCTTGATCTTAGCCATTTTGTCTCTCATCGATAACCGTTTTATATTTAAACTAAATTCTAATGACATAAACACTGAGCCAATTTTCGCTAATATTTACACATCCTGTCTGCCATTAAAATCTGCATTTCACTAATTTTACTAAACGCAAAACTATCATAAATTATGTTTTAATGTTTCCGGACTGTGACAATATGTTAGCGATGTTGTCACATTAAAAATTAATAGCGGTTTTAAAATCATTTTGCATTGGTAACCCTCGCAGCGCCGAAGGAAACGGAAACATCTATTATATCATTTGTGGAAACATGAAAAATTTTATGAAAATTGCATTATGAGGAAACTATAAAATATCATAATTTATTAAGCGCTCGTAGGAGTTTTTAAATGCTTGTTTACAGTTTCTATCAGATTATAAGTAATAGTATTTAGGTAATATATCTATTCACAAACGAATATACATATTTATTTATTTTTAAGTAGATATGTAAATTTACTACATACTGATTTTCATAAAAATATTAAATCTTTAAATATCCTCAATAAATATAAAATTTATAAAGGATATTTAAATTTGGTTTGTTATGATATTTTGTGTCCAAATTGTATAAATAAATGTTTATTTTATTCAGTAATTTAATTACTCCAAAACGCCAAGATACTTATTATATGTTTTTCTTAGTATTTTCAATTATAAGTATCATAGAAACTGCAGGACAATCTTTTACATAATATTGTTTGAAACTAAACATTTTGTCTATTATTATTTTACTACTATTTGCAACTGATTTAAAAAACAAGAGGTTCTCAATTCGGTTGTATTCAGAAATTTTATCAAAATCGATTCAGTACTTTAATTTTTATAAATAATTATATATATATATATATATATATATATATATATATATATATATATATATATATATATATATATATATATATATATATATATATATATATTATAATACATATATTACTAACTTACATAAAGAAGACTTCGATTCCTTCCAATTCATTAAACGTATTCTTTTTGTTCCAGTTAAGGATCATCTCCAACACTCAGACCTTGAAGCTGATGACGTGGAAACCGATGACCAAACATCCAACATGGACGACGATATCCTTACACAATCGGACCTTGACGAGAACGGCGATCCTAAAAGTCCAACTAGTTCCAGTTCTAAGAAAGGCAAGAGTAGCTCCTCGAGAGACTCCAAGGGAGGAACGAAACCCAGAAGGGCAAGAACAGCGTTCACATATGAACAACTAGTGTCTTTAGAGAATAAGTTTAAGACAACGAGGTATTTATCAGTATGCGAGAGACTGAATCTGGCACTGAGTTTAAGTTTGACAGAAACACAGGTACGTTAAGGTTTCAGAAACCCTTGTAACTTTTATATTGTTCTTTCTATATAAGAAATTAATGTCGCAACCTCTCGTCAAGTTTTGTGGTCTGGAATCATTGATGCTGAGTAAATCTAAATTGATTTTTCTTTTTAGTCATAACAATAAAATTATTTTATTGAACTAGCTTGTAACTTCATTCTTTATATTAAGTTATTAATAGTATTCGCGAGCGAAATAAATATTTATTTTATAATTTTATTGAAACAATATTGTAATAACATTTATTGAAATAAGTTCTTTATAATCATATCATATATTTATTGTAATTTCTCTTCGTACAGGTCAAAATCTGGTTCCAAAATCGCCGAACAAAATGGAAAAAGCAAAATCCGGGGATGGACGTTAATAGTCCGACGGTGCCTCCACCTCCAGCCGGGGGCTTTCCATCTGGGCCTTACCCTGGAGGCCTGTTGTACTCCCATGGGGTTCCATATCCGTTCACTGGCCCCGGGCCTTACGCGCCTTACTTTCACCATTTAGCTGCAAACCACCATCACACGCATGGGAGTCTGGGACACTCGCACACGTGATTATGGCAGCGGCCTGGTGACACCCGGGTCGATAAGGAGAGTGACAGTAACTGTGGTGTTTCCAATTGACCTTGAACTTGACCTTGTGAAAACTTGTGATTATATGTAATTTCGGTTTACGGTCCAGCAGTTGGTTATGGAAAACGAACAACAATTTTAATAGCTGACAAATTGCAACTATATTACAAATTACAACCATTGTTTGCATCATTTTGATATTTGACATGGTGGTCCGTGAGCCGTCATAGGGGTAGTATGTAGGAAGATCAACAAGAACTAATTTGAAAAATATCCGTATATTAAGTTGTTTTGATTGTTCAAGTTTGAATTTATCCTGGTTAAAAAATTATCATTCAAATATCGTATTTGATTTAATATATTTTTGAATATTTAGATTATTACTTTTAAACATCTAGATGCCTGCAAATAATACGACCTAACTTCTTAGTTCTAATTCTCTGCATGTTATCGACAGTCTAAAAATAGTGCAATTAATTTGACATGAAATTATGAATCGATTGTGATAACTAAATTATAAGGAAGGAGTATAAGGTTGTTTTTTTTTTCTATAAGAAAGTCTTTCAGCTCATCAAAGAAAGAGAGTAATATGAAAGAATGTTACATCTTAAGAGGGCTAAGATGGTGCAAGATGGTCTTCCCGTATGACTGGCAATTGTAAAAATAAATATAATATGATTTTGGTAGTCATAGCACCTTAAGAATATGCAATACAATTTATTTTAATCTCCACAATATACGACAGAATAAAATAAAATCACGAGTTTTATGATTTTAATTTGTTGGTTTATCCATCTATATTTAATCTTTTTAATTACATTACTAGCTACAATATTGTCCGAATTAGGAGTAATTACCAAGTCTAAAGACCTATAAACTTAAAAAAAAGAATCCATAATTGTTTTTTATGTCAGTATTTATTTTATATTTCTGACACGTGACTAGGTACGTATACTACGTATATGTGTTTTGACAGATACATAGCAGTAATCTAATAATAACAGTCAATAGACAAATGGGAATTTTCGGTCTACTGGCGTTATTCGAAAATATTTCCTCGTATTAATATTTAATTATTTTACATTTCCACTGTAATTTAATTTTGTAATTTTTGTAAATATAATTTAAGTAAAAACTGTACATGTGTGTGTAAATATTTCTGCGTATAAGTAGTTTAGTATTATTAATTTTTCATTTAAGTACTGAACTATTGTGCCAAAATATTATTATCCAATATAATTTATGTAGATTAGAAATTAAAAATTAGATCAACGAAATTGTATTTTTAATAAACATACTCAGTTACAATAGCAAAATCTGTTACCTATTTAATTTATTTATTTAAAAATGTATTTTGATTATATTTCTTATATCCGATTAGGTACCTACTTATAATAGAAAATCAGCAACATATTACCTACTGTTTTTACTACCATTGTGAAATGTTTTATTTTTTATTACGTTCAAAGCTTACCATATTTAGTTTTTATATTTTTGTAAGTATTTTGTAAAACTTATAATAATTGTAAAAATTTATATAAAAATCAAGTACTTACCTAATCGAAACTTTTATTGAAAGGCCTATTTCTGAATTTAAAAAAAAGATTAAATTATATTAAAACATCTTAAATTTAATATGGATTCCTATAATAAGGTATAAAATTAGTAGCTATATCCCACGGCTTTATCCGCATGACTCAGTATGTGAAGTATCCTATGTGCTAATTTAGGATATAACTTACCAGTGTACCAAATTGTATTAAAATATGTCCAGTAGATTTTGTGTGAAAAAATAATAAACATCCACTCATAGTTACGAACTTTCGCATTTATAATATTAATAGGATTATTTTCTCTTTATAGTACCTACCGAATTTCTTATGAAATTTAAAAACGATAGAGATATGAAATATTTATCCCACTTTTATTACAATTAAAATGAAAACTACAATTAAAAAAAAATCTGAAACATCATTAACCTTAATACCTTATTTAAATCTTAAATATACCTAGTGAATTGATACCAAAAAATAATATATGATCGGCTGTTAACAAATGACTTATTCAGAAATAGGCCTCGTTCTGCTAAGTTGCCGCTCAACGCTGTAAATATATGTAGCTCGATGAAGACTCTACTTTATAACTTGATGTTGACATAAAATAGTTTCAAGTTATCCTTTGTTTTATTTATGTGTGTGACTTACAATAAAAAATAATATGTATGAAATTATACATCGTCAAATGTTTGAAAGGATATTTTGAAAAAAATAAATAAAACTGTGTAGATGGGTGGATCTGAAGAATCGAACGTTAAGATTATGAAATAATCTTCCTGGCTACGCTTTCCCAAGAGACTGCAGCATAGAAATCTTCAAAAAAAAAAGGTAAAGAGGTTTTCCAAGTTCGGTAACGCACAAGTAATGTCCTTGGTATTATAGACGTTTATCATAGGAAGTATACTTATTTGCCATATCAGTATATTAAAAAAATTTACTTATTATTGGGTAAATTAAAAAAAAATTAAACTACTTTTAAAATTAGAAGTAATTTTATATGTATTGGAACAGAATGAAACTTATATAATTATCTGGGATTTTAAAGAATGTACATATAAAATTTTTAAAAAATATTTCCTGTTAGTTTATAGATAGACATTTTAAAATCGAGTCAATTTTTTTCCATACTCACGTCAATGAAGTTTTTATGAGAAAAAAAAAATATAAACGTAGAGAAAGAAAAAACGTACTAAATATGTCTGAATGCCGTTCGTTTCATTCCTAAAATTAATACGAAACACAGAATGTAGAAAGAGTTATCAAGTTATGAGATTCAGTTTAGAATTAGGTAATTAAAATATTGCGTAACATATATATAAAAAAAAAAAAAACTAATTATCTTTCTCAAATTTGTTCAAGAGCAAAAAGTAAATGTATGTAAGTATTACAAGTTCAAGATAGAATTAGACCAAATTTCTATGTTCATCTTTAAAATAAAATTATGTAGAGTATCAAACATCGGCGGTTACACGAACAATATATTACTCAAATAGCGTGTGAGAATTGAACAATGAACATCTTAAGATGTAATATACAATATCTAGATCATAGATTAATTTAGCAAAGTTCGATTCCCAAACAGGCCCGAACGAGATCGAACCTCAGACTGACTAATGCACACATATGCTACCTTAACTTTTAGACTTTCGCGTGTATAATTCATGGTTTATAAGAGACGGAATTAGCGAAATCATTTAAGTAAATTATGATAATTTACCTGAGTCATCTCTACGTAACTACGTAAATGTTATTGTGTTAATTACCATCTCTTATAAACCTATTCATGCTATCATTTATTTAAAATTTTTAATTGATGGAAATATCGATTACAAACCAAATTAATTAAAGTGACGGTGGTAGGCTCTTCCCGTGTCTCGTTGGATTCTAATGTGTTCGGCAAAATATGGACATGTCGAGTTACGTTCACTACAACGTATCCTAAATAGGGTAGTAAGAAGTCTTCCTACCCTATTTAGGGTTTTAATTATACCTAAGTATATACATATGATTTTTTTAATGGTTAATAATGGAATGGTAACCCTGTCTGTGCTATCGATATACGCTGGCTGGGCACCAGTAGGAGATGATAAATAAGGAAAATATATACATTTGCTGTGTGGTCCCGCAAAAGATTGAACCACCTCTTCTGTTCCTTTCGTATGGTCGTAAGAAGCAACTAAAAGAACTTAATGATCAAGGGATGGGTAGCAGAGTCCCTTTTTAGACATCACCAAAACCTAACTGCGTTTTTTAACCTACCTGCCAAGCCTGGCAAACTACTGGCAAACCTTTCCAATAGAGATAAGCATATGTTCAGCAGTGGTCAATTAACGATAATGAAGATATTTATTTTAAAATTTTCTTTTTTAATTATATTATGAATTTAAGAATATTTTGTTATAAAACTTGTTTTGAATTTCATAAAAAGAGGCGGTAAATGAGAAGGCTCTTAAGTTATATGCCTACGTGCAACAAAAGTTGTATGCCTCAGGTTGAGATGAAATCTATTTATATCTAAATCTAAACTTTGTAACTTATTCACCTATGTCATAAAGTAAATCAATTTAATTAAAAAATAATATCCAGTTTTATCTATTATTATTTATCTTTTATCTAGTTTTATTTATTTTAGTCAAGTTAACGTAGATCTGTACAGATTTGCATGAATGAATAAAAACTCTTTAATGTTTACTTCAAAGAATGATACAGATTATGAGGATTAACAATATGTACACAAACAAAATTAATATTTAATTATATAAAAGCAAGCTAAAGAGGCAACAATTGACGGTCTGATCGCGAGCAATCTCTTCCAGGCAACCTTAGGATGAAAAGGAATAAATAAAATAATTATAATATACATATATGGATATACATACATAAATTTATATAAAGACAAATAATTATAATATTGTTTAAGTATAATCTTGCTACACTTATAATTCGCTATCATAACGTAAGAACAGACTCATTAGCCTTATGGTTTGTATTATCTACTATCGTCAGTCCAACCTAAATTTCTTTAATCTTACCAATTAGAATGGGGAGAAATTCGCCCTTATTTTATCTTTATTACGGCCTCCTTTCTTTGCTCTAGAAGAAATTTGACTTTGTACAAAAGTCGTTTGCTTGGGGATCTCTGTCCTATTTGTGTTTTTACCGTGAAGCAGTTGTACTTGCATGTCTGTGTTTCGGTTTAAAGGGTGGGATATGGCAACGAATTTACAGGGTACAGATGAATAACATCTGAGCCCTCAGGAATGGCAACGCATGGGGGGTATCATGGGCGAAACAGTATACTCTGCAATATCCATGGTACTGCTCATGTCTATAGGCGACGGTTATCACTTTCCATCAGGTAGGCTTTCAGCTTTTTTGCCATTCTAAGTTGCATAAAAAAAATCCCAAGTAAGAAACATATCATCACAGTACTTCTAAACTATATAAAAAAAACGATTTTTTTGTTTGCAATTAAATAAACTCGAAAACACACATACGACTATTTTTTATTTTAAACAAAATTGCATGGAACCCAGATGGTTTGCTAGTACCTAAATAAACAAACAATTGGCTTTAATTACTGTGACACTTTTTCTAACCATATCTATTGATTAACGTAAAAATATTGTAACTAAAAATATGTGGATTATTTTTTCAGCAATAGGTAAGTATTCTAAGATTTTCGGGTAAATTTCGGCGACACACCGCGTCGGCGCCTTTGAGCGCGATTCCAAGATGGCGGCACGTCATCTGTCATTTTTAATTGTGTGTCAAACCGCACAGTTCCAAAGCCGTTACGCGCCGCCGGCGAAGTGTTCAGTTTATTGCGATATAAATGAGCCTGTTATATTACTGAAGAGCCCTCATTAGATTCGCATTGATATTTGGCTCCTGTTCATACGAGGAAATAGCAATGTAAGTGAATAATGTTATTTTGATATTCACTCGTTATTAAAAGCTATTTCTGGATGTTGTCGTGTTAAATTGGTCATTAGTACATATGTACATTACATTTAGGGTTCACAAAAAGTAAAAACGGAACCTTTATAACTTACGTATTGTACTTTGCAGTCTGTTGATCATATATAGGTAGGTAGTCTAAACTAATTTAATGGGCAAATGTATTTACTTAGATATTATTGTGGTATAAGTGGAATCCTGGGATCATCTAGAAACATATTTCTATACTTGATTAATTATTATTAAGTTAAGCTTTGAACTAAATCGAGCGTCACACGTAATCTATCAATGTCAGAAAAGCATTCGTTTCGGAAATACCAATGATTCCAACTGGAAACACAAGAATATAAAAATATCTTTTCTAGACATTAATATAAAATACTTACTTTTGTAACCACATAAGGGGTAGTCGGAGATGTTTCGTTAGTATATACTGGAGAGTTAGTGCCTAATTGAAATTTACAGTTAGTAGAATTTTGAGTATAAACTCAATTAATAATCATTGCAAATGATGATGATGATGATAATGAAAGCAGGGTACGGCATAATTTCTAAATCCTCAGGTACAATGTGGTCGGTGTAATTTATGGTGTTCATGGTGTCGTTTATGTTTATAGGTGAGAGTCGTCACTTTATTATGTGGGCGGTATTTTTTATTTGCCATTTCTAGTTGTACAATAATAACAAAATTAAACTTTAAAATTAACATTGAATTATATCCTTTGTATCGATTAAAAATGCACATCTTGACTTTTATAAATTTAATTTATGAGCATTTAGCAGATATCTTATCTAGTTATCTGATTCATCTATGTAACTTCTTCCAAAGACTCTTTACCACACTATCTTATTATTTCATTTCCTTGCACCGTTTTCTATAAAAATCCATTAATAAATAGTGGCGCCACATCACTGAGGAACGGTTTTACTATTTTCGTGTATCATATTCATAACCGATAGGTAGTCGTTTATAGTTCAGTCCACAGCTCATCAAAGTGTCAACGGGCAATATATTACGATTCTTTGAACAAAACAAGATTCCCCATGTTATGTCTTAATTCCGTAAATTATACGCCATCGGGAACATAGTATTTAACGTCTTTGTACAAATTCTTATGAATATTATAAATGTGAAAGGGAGTTTGTTTGTTAGTTGTATCTTGGCGTTTTAATGGCTTAATTGATTGCAATGAAATCAGTTATTCATTGGTCTGATATTATTTGGAATGTAAAAGAACATAGCTATTTAACCTACTTAATTCCAAGCAAAATAGTGTATACGACCCCAACTTTGAATCTTTACGAATTGTTATGTATTTTGTATTATAGTAGTAATGTTAAATATGTTCGAGATTAAAACTTTGTCTATCAAATTTCCAACCAACTTTTTGGCATGATAATGCAAAATCTTGAACAAATTCATGTAATCAAAAAAAATCCTATAGGGTCTTTTATCACGTTAAATTGAATATACCCAACTGCCAGCAAAAATATAATAACAAGTAATTGATAAAATGCTTCTAATGACCCAATTAGATATTACAGTCCTGAACAAATGACACCTTTCTTCTCTCAATATCGTGTTCGATTATTCTACTTCGTACTACA